CCTATATGTACCACAACAGCTGGCTGTTCACCCTCCCCCTCCAGAATGTCCCGCAGCCGCTCCAAGACATCCTACTCTTTTTCTGTTTTTGGTCACCCATTCCCTATCTTCCTCAGTAATTTTAATGTGCAGTGTGACCAACTTTCTGAACGTGCTACCCTCGATTTCCTCATTCTCATGGTTGCTCTAAATTGAATCCAGCCATAGTTCCAGAGCTGTCAAGCGGTCAGACACGACCCTCAGCTGGACACACTTACTGCACATGAAGGAGTCAGGAACATCGTAAGTGTCCCTGAATTCCCACATCGCACAGGAGGAGCACGACACAGGTCTGGGATCTCCTACCATGACTTAACCCTTAAGTTAACAACAGTAGCAAAGCGAAGAGAAAAGAGAAACTACTCACCAGTCACTCACTTAGCTGCTGCTATCTACTTCTCCTTTACTCTCGTGTCTTCAGCAGCTGCAGTAGTTTGCTCCTCCTCCGACTGCCTTACCTCGCTGCAGCTCACCCTCTTCACCGAAGCCTGGTATTCACTTAAGCCTACATTTAAACCTCTAGCAGCACTCCCACCACAAAGCTGCCCTTCTCAAAATGGCAGCTCCAAAAATGGCCACTCTGCTATAGCTTGCCTTCCATTTATTCGCTCCTGGGCAGTGACTGAGATGACTCGTCCCAGAATCCTTCTCAGCACCACCCTCTGTTGGATACCCTCGTACGGTTCGCTGACACCAGCTCTTCTGCACTCCCCTCCTTGGTTGCAGGAGAGACAACTCCTCCCAGAATCCTTCTCAGCAGCACCCTCTGTTCCTTACATAAGGAAGGCCTTGCTTGTACAGAGTAAATCAGATGTGAGGTGAGAGTAATTGCCCTTAACATCAAGGCTGCATTTGACCGAGTGTGGCATCAAAGAGCCCTAGCAAAACTAGAATCAGTGGGTATCAAGGGCAAACCCTTTGCTCGTTGGAGTCATACTGGCACATAGGAGGATGGTCCTGGTTGTTGGAGGTCAGTCATCTCAGCTCCAGGACATTTCTGCAGGAGTTCTTCAGGGTAGAGTCCTCATCCCAACCATCTTCAGCTGCTTCATCAATGACCTTCCCTACATCATAAGGTCAGAAGTGGGGATGTTTGTCAGTGATTGCACAATGTTCAGCACCATTTGTGAATCTTCAGATATGAAGCAGTTCATGTTCAAATGCAGCAACATCTGGACAATAACCTGCGATAGTAGGAACTGCAGGTGCTGTAGAATCCAAGACAACAAGGTGCAGGGCTGGATGAACACAGCAGGCCAAGCA